GGGGGGGGGGGGGGGGGGGGGGGGGGGGGGGGGGGGGGGGGGGGGGGGGGGGGGGGGGGGGGGGGGGGGGGGGGGGGGGGGGGGGGGGGGGGTGGGGGGGGGGGGGGGGGGGGGGGGGGGGGGGGGGGGGGGGGGGGGGGGGGGGTGGGGGGGGGGGGGGGGGGGGGGGGGGGGGGGGGGGGGGGGGGGGGGGGGGGGGGGGGGGGGGGGGGGGGGGGGGGGGGGGGGGGGGGGGGGGGGGGGGGGGGGGGGGGGGGGGGGGGGGGGGGGGGGGGGGGGGGGGGGGGGGGGGGGGGGGGGGGGGGGGGGGGGTGGGGGGGGGGGGGGGGGGGGGGGGGGGGGGGTGGGGGGGGGGGGGGGGGGGGGGGGGGGGGGGGGGGGGGGGGGGGGGGGGGGGGGGGGGGGGGGGGGGGGGGGGGGGGGGGGGGGGGGGGGGGGGGGTGGGGGGGGGGGGGGGGGGGGGGGGGGGGGGTGGGGGGGGGGGGGGGGGGGGGGGGGGCGGGGGAGGGGGGGGGGGGGGGGGGGGGGGGGGGGGGGTGGGGGGGGGGGGGGGGGGGGGGGGGGGGGGGGGGGGGGGGGGGGGGGGGGGGGGGGGGGGGGGGGGGGGGGGGGGGGTGGGGGGGGGGGGGGGGGGGGGGGGGGGGGGGGGGGGGGGGGGGGGGGGGGGGGGGGGGGGGGGGGGGGGGGGGGTGGGGGGGGGGGGGGGGGGGGGGGGGGGGGGGGGGGGGGGGGGGTGGGGGGGGGGGGGGGGGGGGGGGGGGGGGGGGGGGGGGGGGGGGGGGGGGGGGGGGGGGGGGGGGGGGGGGGGGGGGGGGGGGGGGGGGGGGTGGGGGGGGGGGGGGGGGGGGGGGGGGGTGGGGGGGGGGGGGGGGGGGGGGGGGGGGGGGGGGGGGGGGGGGGGGGGGGGGGGGGGGGGGGGGGGGGGGGGGGGGGGGGGGGGGGGGGGGGGGGGGGGGGGGGGGGGGGTGGGGGGGGGGGGGGGGGGGGGGGGGGGGGGGGGGGGGGGGGGGGGGGGGGGGGGGGGGGGGGGGGGGGGGGGGGGGGGGGGGGGGGGGGGGGGGGGGGGGGGGGGGGGGGGGGGGGGGGGGGGGGGGGGGGGGGGGGGGGGGGGGGGGGGGGGGGGGGGGGGGGGGGGGGGGTGGGGGGGGGGGGGGGGGGGGGGGGGGGGGGGGGGGGGGGGGGGGGGGGGGGGGGGGGGGGGGGGGGGGGGGGGGGGGGGGGGGGGGGGGGGGGGGGGGGGGGGGGGGGGGGGGGGGGGGGGGGGGGGGGGGGGGGGGGGGGGGGGGGGGGGGGGGGGGGGGGGGGGGGGGGGGGGGGGGGGGGGGGGGTGGGGGGGGGGGGGGGGGGGGGGGGGGGGGGGGGGGGGGGGGGGGGGGGGGGGGGGGGGGGGGGGGGGGGGGGGGGGGGGGGGGGGGGGGGGGGGGGGGGGGGGGGGGGGGGGGGGGGGGGGGGGGGGGGGGGGGGGGGGGGGGGGGGGGGGGGGGGGTGGGGGGGGGGGGGGGGGGGGGGGGGGGGGGGGGGGGGGGGGGGGGGGGGGGGGGGGGGGGGGGGGGGGGGGGGGGGGGGGGGGGGGGGGGGGGGGGGGGGGGGGGGGGGGGGGGGGGGGGGGGGGGGGGGGGGGGGGGGGGGGGGGGGGGGGGGGGGGGGGGGGGGGGGGGGGGGGGGGGGGGGGGGGGGGGGGGGGGGGGGGGGGGGGGGGGGGGGGGGGGGGGGGGGGGGGGGGGGGGGGGGGGGGGGGGGGGGGGGGGGGGGGGGGGGGGGGGGGGGGGGGGGGGGGGGGGGGGGGGGGGGGGGGGGGGGGGGGGGGGGGGGGGGGGGGGGGGGGGGGGGACTGGGCATGGCTGCTCTTTCTTGGGATGTTTTAATCAATACAGACCTGGACGATAGCTGGCTCGCAATCTCGTTGGCTCTCAGCACATGCGCAAAGTTGAACGTCTTGTAGTAGGAACGTCGTAGTTGCCTCAACCTTGCATGCAGCTTAGTTCGCCTCCTAATTTTTCCTGAACTTTTATTTAAAGGAGTAAATGGAGCCAACTGGTCTATACAATAATGCAGTTCGCCATAAAATATTGCGGACGATTGCTCCAGGGAGTCGGACAGGAAGAACTGTTCCCAGTTCCTTGCTCGAATAATCGTGGCAAATGTGGGCCAGTCTATGGAGTTTATCGGCCGGTATATCTCAATGGCCTCTGATCTACTCGAGCAGTATACCACTCTGTGGTCGCTCCCCGGAAACTCTAGGCCTATAGATGCACGTATATTGGATATACCCAGTGTAAATATCGGGTCTAACAGGTGTTTAGACCTGCACGGTAGCTTAATTCTTGTCCACGGATGATACTACATAGTACCACCTTGTCCGTTGGAAACATCTTGCAAATGTTCTCTCTAAGTTAAGCCATCGTTGGGTGGCCCATGCTGATCTGATTACGACGCTACCTGGAATCACCTAGACGGGTGCAACCACTTTTACATGGTCTATCTCAGCCAAGCCAGCTATTTGTAGCTCTATTCGCAAACGTACACGAAGGTTCCTGGATTCAGTTAGCCTGATGCAACCATTGTCAAGTTTTCTACCTAAGTTTATCCACTGCTTTGTTCCTCAATTCTGCTCTGTGGACGATACTACCTAGTATCACCTAGGCTGTTGGCACCCTTTTGGAAATGCTTTATCTCAGTCAAGCCTTCACGTGGTAGCTCTATTCTAAACGTTGGACGATGGTGCCTAGCTTGAGTTAGCCTAATGAAACTTTTTTATAAATGGTCTATCTCGGTTATGCCCTTGCGTTGTATCTCCAATCTGACCTGCGGGCGATGCTATCTGGATTCCAGTACGCTGCCATTATCATTTGATACATGGTTCACCCCAGTCAAACGATTGCTTGGTAGCTCGATTCTGATCTGTGGGTGATATTACTTAGATTCATACAACCCGATGCAACTACTTCATAGATGGTCCATTTCAGTGAAGCTAGCGCTTAGCAGCTACTTTCTGATCTGTGCAAGTTGATACCTGCCATCACCTAGCCTGAAGCCACCCCTTTATACCAGTGGTATATCTAAAGCTAACCATTTCTTGGTTATTGTATTCTGGTCTATAGATGACGCTACATGGAATCACAACGCCCCATGTAAATGGTTTACATTTTGTCCAGGTTCGCAAAGCCATGGCTTGTTGCATCTAATCTTTGCGTTGATAAGGCTAGTTGGCCTCTCTAAGCCTGATGCAGCTATTTCATAATTTGCCCATCTCGGCCAAACGAACGCTTGATGGATCACTTTCCTATTCTGGGTCATCTCACAGATGTTTAGTACATTGTTCATCTATGTATCTGGTGGTGTAACTTTTCTTATACAACGGTTAGATTCCGCTTGTATAATGACTTCCCATTTGTATTCCTTTTATGGGGCTCTAATAGTTCCCCGTTAGTAACTATATAACCATCGCAAGCGTGTGCTTACGCCACACAGGTACGATAAGCCAGACCTCACTGAAATGGCGGATGACCGGTGTACCTTAAAAATACGCCACTTATCCATGATCACTTTGCATGGGATCGAGGGTCCACGGCAGCTAGATTTCGCATTAATTTTAGAACGGCCCCTTTCTAGTGTTTATGATAAGGGCATGTATACTCTATGACTTACTGTTTCACCGAACGCTCTAGCTCGCTGTGCAGCGCATTCACGTTACGTACATAAGCGCTTTCGGCTGAATCCCCGGCTCTTTCACTACGGACCCTGTTGCAGGCTGCGCCAATTAGTCTCCACGTACGCAATACTGTCATCCAAATCACGACGCACGTTCACCATTTAGGAAAATGAACTGATGCTCAAAGTTTCTCCTCTCCATGTAATGCAGCTCACGGCTTCGTACTCGGATCGATGCTTTTCAGTCCACTCGTTCATGATCTCCTAGTGGATCCGGATTTAGCTCCCCACTGTTTGCGCAGCATCAAATGTTATGGAGCCTCAACCTCCGCATTTAAACTTGGAGATTTGTACTAGACTTGAGCTGGCTATTTATTTGGGCTACGTTGGTACTACCTTCGTAGTTATCCAATAAATGAACACGAGCCGAAATGAGACTGGATCACGGTTATTAAATAGTTATCGATTGCTGAAACTCGCCTCCGGAAAGTATTGTCGATGAGGACACGGTTTCGTTTTGAATGGCAGTTGGTGGCAACACCGAACTGCAGCACTTCACTTAAGTGTATCCATGTTTGCATAACACATCAAGGACACATAGTCCCGGTATCTACACTACTATCCATGGGTGGCGAAACCTAACCATTCCCTTCTCCTGACCGTATTCATTTACCGACCATTACAGCTTTATGTACGTTTGTACTCAGTGTAAGCATAATATTGGTAACCAGGGTTTCATCAGACTGTTTCCATTTAAACGCATTGACATTTAGTAACATGGTATTGGTTCCTTTGTCAACAATCCGCTAGAAACAACAATGAAGCGGTCCTCTAGTAGTTGCGGTTCAATCTGATTATAAGGGTCCATTACTCGCCACCAGTCTGTGTAACTGCTTGTAATACCGCCGTCATACTCCTTCCAATGTTTCTACTATCCAGCTGCACTTACCTACATACATATGTTTCATGAAGCCGACAAGGTAGCGGTGCCTGAAGCATTAACCGTAGCATCATGTCTGGTATCCTATTCTGTGGATAAGCTTTGTACACCCGTTATGCGCAAGCGACGTGAAACCCGTAAATGCAGTACCAGAAGGAATAGGCTGATTCAACAGGCACTAATGCATCAATTCAAGGTAAGAAAAATTTAGCATGGCGCACTTTATGCGCGGTCCAATGTGCCGGTCCAAAATAGTCCATCCTCACTGCAGTGAACGCTGGTTGGTAGGTCAGACATTGGTCTGTATAACTGGTGCCATCAGCTGACTCAGTAGCTTTGCATGCTTAACGCGACATTTGGCACGTTTGAAAGGCACGCGCCTTATGGTTGGAAGCCCACCCACGATCCAGTAGCGTTGATGAAGATCGTATAACGTGTGCTGCACACCAGTGTCCATTGATGTAATGCTAGTGAAGTATAAGAAGGCGAGTGACAAAGTGGCGGATGGCTGGCGTCGTACGGTACCGAGAGTTGATCCAACCTTTCGCCCACCCGAAGTATCTCGTTAATAAGGAAGGGATTGAGCCGTCATAAACAACATGACTTCGGTTTTAAATTTCGAACTGCTATGTCGGGTTCGTTGTATGCAAGGAGGCGCATCTTCTCCGCAAAAGCCTCTGCCTGCACCGACTTAACTAACTGAAACGTAGCTTGTCAAATTTCAGCACATTTTATCTTAGCTGGTTGGTCAGGTGAAGCGCGCCTCAAGTAGTTGGCGATGAAATAAGATTTAAATCGCAAGAAGGGAACGAATGTTTGCGCAGGGAAGTCCATGTCGGGCAAGCCTTAAATTGATGAATCCAGTGCTCCTCCAAGGTGGCCAAGGAAGCATGACTAACCTCCGGTCGTAACCATTCAAGCTGTAATTCACCCAGATTCTCCGAATGCATAGGCCATGAGGAAGGGGGCTGAACGAGAAATTGCGGCCCATGTAACCAATGGTGTAGTTCCTTCTTGAGCGCTATCGAGATTCCACGTGAGGCTAAAACAGCCGGGTTCTGCTTCGCATTTACGTGGCGCCATTGACTGGGGTGAGAGTATTGTTGTATAATGGTAATCCGGTTAGCAACGTACTTCGTGAAACGCCCATTAACACTTCGAAAATGTTTCAGAACTACCATGGCGTCTGTCCAGAACGTTGCGCTACAATGGCGTGCCATCTCCTTTCTGACTTTCGCTGACATGCGCACGTTCAGTACGGCAGCAGTGAGCTTCAACCTTGGTATCGACACCGTTCTAATAGGACTGACACATGATGTACTAATAATCAGGAAACTACTAACTTTGCCCTCATAACAGTCGCAACGCAACTATAGAGCAGCACCGTAACCAGCCTCAGACGCATCCGGAAAACAATGCAACTGCATAGAAGATATTCTGCATCCGAATGGATTAATACAACGTTCGACGTACAAACTGTTTGGACCATTGGCATTTGATAACCATTTGCTCCAAGCTTGCTGATCCTCTGTGGGATGAGGCTCATTCCAAGCCAGCTTCCTTTTTACGAAACTCTGTAACAGTAACTTTGCCGGAAGTAGCAAGGGAGCAATGAGCCGAGAGGATCATAAACGGAAGCTTCAAACGAGAGGACGGCTCTTCAGGTCAACGTATTCTTAACACCTTCCAGCACAAAAGTTAGGGGGTCTCGGGTGACGTTCCAGATTAAACCAAGTGCAGTTGTAACACAATCGTCCCCAGTCGAATTTCTTATACCGGAAACCTTCAGTTCGCCGTCAGGTAGATGCGCGATAACCTGCTTTTGATTGCTGCTCCATTTCATCAACTGAAATCCTCCGTCCGACAGAATACGGGTTTCAGATTTTCGAAGTCTCTCAGCATCAGTAACGTTAACCTCATCAAGAGCACCACCAGAAACTGACATGCTTGCTTTATTCAAGTTATGTACCAACGATACTAAGCCTAAACTAATTACGTCGTACGGAAACTAAGCTTGAAACTACAAACAAATAAACCTAGACTTAACGCACGGTCTGGGCTAGAGAATAGAACGAATTATCCTGTAACCGTGGTTCTACAAGGCATATTAAATACAGTACATGACTTACAAATAGGTTTTGCTATCGTAATGCAAGTAAGCAGCAACTGCACAGCGTGGGGCAGAGCGAGTCTTTGGGCAGTGTCACAGTAACATAATAATATGAATGAACTTGGAACATCAAGAATGTGTCAGTGATCGAGTGAAAGGGATAAATATACGATATGTTAACCGCTT